CGGCTCCCCCCCCCCCCCCCCCCCCCCGACTAAAAGTGATGTTTTCTAGACTAAAACCACTACTGGCCATTCCTGTAATAAAGTAAGTTACTATACAAGGAATTGAATACTTGTTTCAGAAATAATCTATATACTTTCTTTGAAATTTGCAAATTACAGATAAGTCCAGAGCAGGAATTTTGATCATGTTTGTTTTGCTTAATTAACTGAGATAGATATGTCCCCAACTTTAGTTTAAAAAAAAAAAATAAATTTACATGAATGTCCAGGTAACCAAAAAATGAAAACCACTGGCAGTGAACAATTAAAGGCAGGTCTTGCATGGTATGTTGATAGCTATCATCATTCCAATGGCACTTCAGTAAAATGCTTTGTGGCGTGTACTGTAGGTTTCATCATAGATAAAGAATGTGCATTTTCAGAAGAAAAGAGATGATGCAAGATTTCTTTTATAGTGCTTTAAATATTATTAACTCTGAAGATTTCTTTTTGTAATTGTTTCTGAGTATGTCATACACAAAAATGAAGTTAAAAGCTTCTGAATGAAGTCAGAGTGAAGCTCCCAAAAGTTAAAATAATCTTGGTATTTCATGGAGCTTAGCTTTTAATATGAAACTAAATCCTTGCTTTTTCTAATCCAGTGTAATCTAATTGCAGTTGATGAGTAAAGAGTCTCCAGTCTCTGTTGGAAATGATGCTTACGTTGACCTTGATCGGCAGGTATCTAAGACTAGATGTTTCTTTACCTTCAATCATAGCACATCAGTGCCCAGTCATTTTGCTTTATTAAGGCGGCTGTCTTTTTTCTTTAATTGTGAAAGGGTTTTGTGGGAAATTCACATAAGGAGTGGAAAGCAAAATTTCAGTATTTCAGGTTCTTCTGCTTTATAAATTGATTTACCCGTTTTCTGTGTTTAAAGGAGAGGAAAAAGTTTGGAAAACAAGTTTAGCTGTATGACATAGTATAACAAAACTGCAGACCAGCACGAATCTTTGGGTATTGAGAAAGAAGGATTAAAACAATGTGTAGTATTTGAATAAAACTTTTTTTGCCAGCTCCTGCTTCCAAAGTCAGTTTAAAAACCCCAATACATGTGGGTCAAAAATCCTTAAAGCAGTCCTGAGAACTCTTACAATATGTAAGAGAAGTTTTCAAAGAGAATCCTTCCCTGTCTGATATATTTGAAGAACATGCAAACCCAATTGCTTTTATACTAGCTTAGCCTCATGCTGACACTGTCCTACTTCCTCAGTTTTTTTCTAATTGAGAAGTAGTATAGTACAGTGGTGTTCCTTGTGTTCCTCCATCATGCTTTCACTGCGGAAGTATGTAAATTCTGGCAGATGGTATTATGTCAACAGGCCCTTGAGAAATAAACTTGAAAAAATAAGATACAATGATGATGTTTTGAGAAAGCCCATCTAAATTCATCATATGTAATAATACATATCTATGTCTCTATGTACATAATATGCATTTCCCTATTTTATTAAGCCAATGTTCTTGTAGCTGTATTTTTTATGTTACCTTAACTGCATTTATATGCAAACTTGCAAGATATATGTATTTGAACGTAAAGCCTTTGAAAGGAAGTATCTGAATATTTCCCACTGCTTACAAGATTCAGTGCCCTTTTTCCAAAAGGCTTCTCACTCACCGTGTTAGTTGTATTCCTGTTGTGCAGTAAGAGTAGCTTCCAGTGACTAGAGAGATTTTACCCTAATTGTCCATTCCCTGTATTCCACCTTCCAGTCCTTTCTGCATTTGAAAAGTAGACTGAAAACTGAAATTATGCACTCTTTGAATCCGTAAAGAAAAGTGGTATTGACAATTTTTTTGGGGTACAGAGTTGATGAGTTCTTCAGTTCCAAGTTCTTCAAGTTTTTTCGGCACAATTCATAGAACAGATGTGATAATTCTAATGTATTTTTGGAAGACCAAATAGTACTTTTTGGTATGTTTACTTTTTACTGTCACAAAAACTAAACAGTAATCATATCTGCTTCTTTGTTTCTTTATAAGAGTGGAATTGCCTCAGTTTTCCAAAATTCAATATTTATTACTTAAATGTAAAAATAATTTTACAGTCATGTAGTTCAGAATACTTTCAGACATTTCACAGAGAGTGATGAAACTATAAATGTTTGTTGTTTATGGTAGCTGAAGAAAACTACAGAAGAATTAAATGAAGCACTAGCAACAAAAGAAGAAATTGCCCAGAGATGTCATGAGCTAGATATGCAGGTAGGTTTGCTATATCGTACATATTAATTTTGAAGTGGGGAAAAAGTGTTAATTTTTTAGGCAGCTGAAGACAAGTAATATACTGTAGAAACATAATTTTTAAAAGGAGATGAAAATTGCACAGTAATTATTTTGCTTTACTTGGGCTAGCAGAGGGAATTTCATTGTTTTCTTATCTTGATGCAATGTTGCCAGTATTGAGATGATTAATACTAACAAAACTTCATTCAGGTAGGAAGGGATTGAGCTGTGTGGTTCAACTCTCACATTAGATAACTAATAGAGGTTATGCTGCTGTAACAGTTTCAGTTAAGAATTAAATTCCAATCAGAAGTTACTGTAGTCTGTCATCTGTGTGTGGATTTAGACTAAGCCTTACTGTAAAACATTGGAAGACATGAGGAGCGTAAAGTGGGAGCCCTGAAAGGCATTGCCATTGCAGCCATACTTTGGAGAATAATTCAGGCTTTTGCCAACCAGTTCAGTAACTGTTAGAATTATTGAAGTTGATTTGTGTGTCATGGTTGATTTTGGTGTATTTGATGATTCAAGCTCTTACTGAAGCATTTTCTTCTGTTGAGATGTTCACATTCCCTCTTTTCCCCTCTTCCTCCTGCTGTTAATTCTATACTATTTAATAATATATGAACCCATGCTTCAGCTTTTGTTTTAGTTGCAGCACTTTGGGTTCTTGCACTACTGCCTGTTTTCAGAACATTGGCGGAAGCTGAGTCATCTTTGGGACTGTGTTCTTGTTTCAGGTCTGCTTGCAATTAGCCACTGGATTTTAAAAAACAAATCTGGGAAGGACGTATCTGTCCCTTAGATATCCAGACTTTGATATTCTGTGTAACTGATAGGCATTGTTTCCTTTGGAAATCAGTTTTAAAAGCTGTACTGTAGAGGGCTAGTTTTATTTGTGTGTTGGGAAAGTATGCAGACTTCATTATAATGAAGTTAACTTCGACTTTTTTCTTTAGAAATTTGTGCAAAATACAGTTAAGAATAGTTAGGTTTTCTGTGTGGTAAACCTGCCCCTAATGCTGCAGTATGTTGGTTACATCACATAGCCATTGATTATCTATTAATGTTACAGTATATTCTTGTGAAATGTGATTATTGAAACCTGTGTGTTTCCATTTGTGGGATACTTTATTATGCACATGAAGAAAAATTGCTCTCTACAGCTGGATAGCTCAGTTATTCCACTTTATGCTTTTATTACAACAGGTTGCAGCCCTCCAGGAGGAGAAGAGCAGCTTGCTCGCTGAGAACCAGATTTTGATGGAACGTTTAAATCAGTCTGATTCTATTGAAGATCCCAACAGCCCTGCAGGTCGTAGACACTTGCAGCTGCAGACACAACTAGAGCAACTCCAAGAGGAAACATTCAGGTACAAAAGCTACGCTTAGATTGTAGCTGGCAACATGACTTAGGTACTTCTGGTTCTGCTGGCAACTATGAATTAGTATAATCGGTGGTATAACCACAGTAGTAAAGTTTTTACAGTGATGTACGTCTTATGTTTTACCTGTTTACAACCTCCAGCATAAAAAAAATAAATGCAGAATTTCTTAATGCTGAAATGCTGTATACTTGTTGGTCTGTGAAGTTATTTTGAATTGTTTGTGTGCAATCATTTCACCCATGCTTTTCAAAATAAGTGAGAGTGAAAAGTAGCATGCTTTCCTTTATGTATATTATTCTGATTGTATTTTTAAAGTGTAGGAGTTCCTAGCTCAAAGTTTGCTATGGGCAGTACTACAGCTGGTATTATTATACAGCAAATTATGTCCATCTCTGAAAACAAATTGTTTCATATCTGAAAGATGAAAATTATCTGCAAGTGAACTCTGCTTTTCATTTGCATTTCCCCAACATGTGGAAATACAGTTCCTCTTTAATATCCTTTCTGGTCCTTTTGACTGTTGCTTTCAGGCTGCGTAAGCCTATTATGCTGAAGAAAGTTGGTCCACTTCACCATCATCATTTCATTCTTGTTGCTGTACTTTCCCTATCCTTTTTGAGTGAAACTCACAGTATTTCTTTACACTGCAGTTTTTCTTCTCTTTCTGTCCTCTTCTGGTTGCCCTTTTCTAATTCGTACGTCAGCTGACATGTAATTTTCCTTTTTTGCCTGTTTTGCCATTTTTGCACTTCTTCTTGCTAAGTCTCTTCCTGCAAGTTCAGAAACACCTTCTCCCTTCACTTTCCTGAAAAATGTTGTGTTTCTCTTTCACAGCAACTAGTGCCCAGTTTTCCTCTTTCTATACATCTACCATGTAAAGAAATAATGTAGTGATGTATCTCTGATGTCCCCTTTTATCTCTCCTTATTCATCTCCATCTTCATGCTCTGGAATGATTCCTACCTGAGTCTATTATCAATTCCTGTTTGAACAGGTTTTCTCTCCATATGCAATATCTGCACTGCCTGTTACTCTAGTTTCAGGTTCTGAGAGTCTTTCTAAACCCTTTTCACCTGTGAGACTTATCTCCCAACCTCCTTTACGTCCTTCCCTTGCCTTCATAGCATGTGGTTTCTAATGGCAATTTGTGTGTGTTCCTTCTGCAGCTCTACCTGACCAAACAGGACATATGTACAGCTCAACTGATGCCCAGTGTGGTACAGCAGTTTTTCTCCCAGTCTTGCCTCTTTATGTCCTTTGACAACTCTAATCTATCAAGATCCAAATCTTTGTTGTGTATGTTTTAGGTGACCTACTGACTATCTCTTGTCTTCATTCTTGTAGATTCTTTTTGGACTCCTTGAATTAATGCATAGAATACTTTTTTTTTTCATGTCCATATCTCCTTTTCTGGATTGTTTTTATTTTACTTTCAGATCAAAATCACAATAGGACTTTATGTTCCAGGTTGTTTCCTGTTCCATTCATTCAAAATGCTTTGACAAAGTTTCTCTTAGTTATTTCCTTTGTTTACTGCCAGGTTAATGCTACTTTGCCTATGTATGCTGTATGTAAGTAATTCACTCCAGAAACTTTGGCCTGAGTTCTTTACATGCTAACTACGTAACTAAATGTATGACTCAGTTGTTCACAGGTACTGGACAGGCACAGATTCTTTATAAGTAAGTAAATAAATAAATCGACCTTGGTGAGAGCTCTACAGCATTTAGAACATCAGACAATCAGGTCGATATTGTTGAAGGTGTGTAGGAGTTGAACAGCTGAACAAAATCTTAGGGTAAAGATGTCATGTTCAAACTCTGTATGCCCAAAGATGAAAAAAGGTGGAAATTTCTGCTTGAGTTTCCATTGTGAAAAATTACAATGATGGAAAAAACTCAGGATTTGTCTTTCTGAGAACGTACATTACCTTGTGATCTTCCAAATGGAAAGACTGATGTCAAATTGGGAGTGTTAAAAAAGTCAATCTGCTTCTACGTTTTTGAATAAGCACATTGGGCTACTGTTCTCCACTGTACCAGAAAGCGGTTTCATGTGTTTTTAGAGAGGATGATGATCAGGAAAGGTAACTGTGGCTCAGGCTGAGAAATTATTTTCTATTTTACCTCATTTCTACAGATTAGAAGCTGCCAAAGATGACTATCGAATACGCTGTGAAGAACTAGAAAAGGAAATTGCTGAATTGAGACAACAAACAGAAGAGCTGACTACACTGGCAGAGGAGGCTCAGTCTTTGAAGGATGAGATAGATGTTCTCAGGTAAACTCTGTTCCATTAACCCTTTTTTAACTATTAACTTTTAATCCATAAAATTCATGTACTTGGTCTTCATTAGCTTTTGTTTAAATAATTTTACTACTAACTATAAACACTTTCTCAATGCCAAGGTTCTTTTGGATCCTCCAGTTAAGTATGCAAACCACCATGCAATTATGCTTAAGTAAATTAGTTATTTGTTATATACCTAATCAATAACTATTAGTAATCTTAGCAATTCTACACCATCTTACAGTCATAACAAGTAACTCACTAGACTCTTGAGTTATTCTCTACTCACCTTCATCATGACTTGGGCATCTGTTCTCATCAGGGAGCTAGACCCTTTCCTTTCCTGTGTTTGGATTATTTGGACTTTGGGTGGCGCTTTTGGTTCATCATGTAATGCTAATATGAACAACATCTGTTACAGCTCTATTCCACTGGATTTTAGCACCAAAGTTGTCATGACTTGATGATGCTAGGGATTTATAGAGTAGGGAAGCCCCTTTTACTATGGTACATAATCCTTCAGTGGTGGCATCTTGCTGCCACGAGTTATTCAGAGCAGTTATCCGCTACCCACCTGTATCAGTCTTTCTAGCAAGTCTAGCAAGGCTTATCTTAATACTGCCTTTTCTAATTCCCCAGCAGCTTTCTACCAAAGCTATCTGTCTTTACCTCCTCTGTCACTGAGATCAGGAATGAGCCCATCAGGCTGCACAATTCCATAAACTGTGGGGGCAGCATGATTCAAAGAGTAATTCCTTGCCCCAGAGAGGGGCTCTGCACTTCATTGGGGATTAAGGAGACTCGGCTTACCCCAGTGTCCCATAAATTGACCATCAATTCAATGGGGGATTTTCCAGATTTCATAGAAAATTAAGTCTGTAAATCGGGTGGTTCTAAAATGAAACTGGGGACAGTAGTGGGGGTGAGGGTTATTGCTGTCTTGGCAGTGCACCAGCTGGACTCCAAAGCTGTTTGTGTCACCAAGTATATGCTGCCCAGGAGACAGATTTTTATTATCACTAATAATATATAATTTTATTATCAGTAAAACAAATTGAAGGGCAGAAAATTTTATTCCTTACCTTGTAAAATGCAAGACTGAGGATTGATTTAGAATTGAAAGGAAGCGGGTGGGAGTGAAGGTGCTTTAACTATTATTTTAAGATAAGAAGGCTGTATTAGGAAGTGATAGTGTCTAAAAGTACCTCCATCAGCAGCTCTTTGAGTTGACAAATAGTTATGGGAGGGAAATAGACAATTTAAAAGTGAAAACCTTAGTAATAGGAAGATATGATTGCTTTCTTGTTCTCCCCATGATGTCCCAGAATGTCTTCTGCATTAAGTAAAAATACTGAGTAAGCTTCAGAACATTGCATTTTGTTAGTTTTCAGAGTACAAATTTGATAGAAATCTGTCCCCCCAGGCATTCTTCAGATAAAGTAGCCAAGTTAGAAAGTCAGGTGGAGTCATACAAAAAGAAATTGGAAGACCTGGGTGATTTGCGACGGCAAGTGAAACTCTTAGAAGAGAAGAATACAATGTACATGCAAAATACTGTGAGTCTGGAAGAAGAACTAAGGAAGGCCAATGCAGCACGCAGTCAGCTGGAGACATACAAGAGACAGGTAAGAATAGACATCATCAATGCAACAATTGTCTCTATTGTTCAATGCTTTCTTTTCATAACATGAGTAATACCTTAAAGTAAAAAACAAATTATGAACAAACAGCTCCTTGTGTTTAGAAGGCTTCCATGTTTTGTAGGCACTACCTTTGTTCTCCTTTCCTGCAATTCTTACAATTATTTCAAGTTTACATTAGTTTGCCAATAAGCAGTATTTCTTTTAAAATCAACAAATGTTAAGGTTTTTTTCCTCAAATTATTCCTAATTCATTTTCAGTAGTGGGGCTTGAATTAGAGCCTCTTCTTTCAGAAAAAAGTATCTGCTTTTCATTTACACATTTCCAGCAGTGAGGAACGCACCACAGCCAAGGTAAGTTATAAGTAACCTCTTATAAGTAACTGTAGTTAAGTAACCTCTTTTTTTTAAGGTTCTGGTTTGTCTGATACATCTGAATTTGTCCAGTTACAGAGAGAAGGATGCATATCATCCCTGTTGTGTCTATGCACACAGCAGAGTACAAGATGTGTCACCAGCACACTCTATGTAGTGAAAGGCATCTGTTTATCCTCCTGCTTATCAAAGTGCCATGTGATCCTGTTTCTGTAAAGGTGGAAAGTGTGCTTAATCTCTCTGCTTCTACACTACACTGACATGACATCATTCTATAATTTTTGTTACAGGGCCAGACAGAGCCTCGTTCATTAAAGTTGTAGTGCCCACTCTGTACTTCTGCCCGCTCATAGGCTCGAATGGTCATGGCACAGAAGCGCCCTTACGTCATCTAACAGCAGAATGAAAATACAGAAACAACCACTAATAACATTGCAAGCCCAGGAGCAATGTGTGTCCCTAAGACTTGATAACTTTTTCCCTGCACCTGGCTGTCTTAGTTATTAAGACAACTAGCTTCAGCCTCTTATTGGCTAATTGCAAATACAGTCCAAATGCTGAAGTAACAGACAATCAAGGGGAAAAGTAAATGTAGAAAGCAATGGCCTTTCACACATGCGTAGTATCATGTTTACCGGCAACAAATATCTCACTCCTTTGAACGGCTGAGCAGGTTGTTAGAGTTGTGTAACCTTGACATCCACATCTGATTGTTCTTATTTCACTAACAATAGGATTTGGGAAGGTACAGTCCTGTGATTTGTGCTGCAAAAGTACTTTTCCTTTTTTTCATCATTCCCTGTGTTTTATGGGTGGGATTTCATTTCTGAGGAGCTGTTGATTTGTACAAAACTGCCTTGCTGGCTGAGACTGGAATAAACCTCAGGTGTCTCATGTGACAGATGTGAGTTTTCTTCACCTAAATCACTGCCTCAAAATGAACACACAGTGTGTTTGCCTTCAGTGTCTCTAAGGCAGTGCTCCTTTTAAGACCTGTCTGTGAATCATGAGCTGTCAAAAAATTAATTTCTGGGAATCCTAAATTGTGCTATAAGAATTAAGCCAGGTGTAAGGATTATGACGTTATGTCACTGCTGAGCACTAGTGTGCCCCTGTAGTGGAATGTCACTTGTCTGGTGTGTGAAGAATCCAACTCCACTCATGATGATGCTATCAGAGGAGTTATTTCTTTAGCTTAGAAGCTCTGCTGTGCAAGTGAAAGTGCTTAGTTCAAACTCCTTTAGTGATCTGTAAGGAAATCATATTTTCACCCCATCCAGCAGTTTCTGTGGGATGAGGATAGTGGTGATGTATTGTGCTGGGAGATGTGATAGCATTTATTTAAGAGTTTTTGTTCACTTTTCTGACAGCAAAGCTCAAGCATTTTCTAAGAAACTTTTTATTGCAGCATGAAGAATTGAAATGTGACGTTTCCAGGATTACTTTTTGCAATTTTAATTCAGCCCCTTTGTGCATGTGCATTCTGATACATTTTTAACAATATGCATTGCTTTGCTTTGCTGTATGATTCCTGCTTTGCTCATTCCACATGTCAGATAACACTCAGTAAATGTGATGGCAGTTCATTTTTTTTAATCTTCTACGTTACCATGTAACTCTTTCTATACACTCCCAAGTCCCAATTCAAGACAGTTTCTTTTCTGCTGTGTTTTTCTACATACCATTACCATAGCATGAGTGATTACAAACATTAATGCATTTGTTTCTATTTGAGATGAAAATATACCTATTTTGCAGGTGGGGGCACAATCACAGTGAAGCCCTGCATTTATTTTTTTTTCCTACCTGCAGTTATTCTGATATCCCCAGTGATGGATGTCACATCTGAGAAATGAAATATGTTCATATCTAACATTTTATATAGTTTTTTTAAAATCTGATAATCTCAGAAATGGCAGGCCTGTGCTTTTTAATGTAAGAACAACAGCAGCAAAGTCCTTCTCTAAGACCATGCAGATTTTTAGGCCTAGTAGTTATTTTGCTATAGTTATACACATTGAAAGTAAAAGGTAATTAGAACCACTAGGCAGTCTTAACGTAGGTATGGCTACTGCTTTGCTTCACAATTAAATTAATCACTTTCTCTGTAATCTAAAAGCCATGAAAAAGCCTTCTTATGAATTGCTTCAGAAGAAGCTGTACGTCTTTAGCTGAGTCTTCATTCAGCTTTTGTGTTTGCAAGTCAGTCTTTATTCAGTTTACTTGCTTCCATGCTCTTTGCATTATGAGCTTTACTACTGTTCTGGGATGAGTCTTTGCTAGTAAAGGCTGAGAGTTTTGAAAAGGCAAGACTGCAGAGATTTGCCTCCCATTCACTGATCATTTCTGCTCAAGCTTTCAGATTTCTGCTCATTTAATTTTAAAAGCTCTTTACTGATCTGTAGTTGAAAGTATACGTGCGACTTTGTTAGCAATGTTTCCTTCTGAAATAAAGAAAACTGTTTATGAGCCTGTGGCTGCATCTTTATATTAGTATAGTAAAAACGATTAGAAAAAATCTCAGGTTAAGAAACGTTATCTGACCGCATGAACTGGTGGTAGAATTCTGAGTGAGGCTTGTGAAATAGAGTTAACAAAAGGTGTAGATAATTTGCTTTCTTCAGAGCTTTTTCTTTTTCCTAGCCTTCTCAGAAAGCAAGAGGATTTTTCTACTTTTCCTAAGTTCTTTGATCCATAGAACTAATACAGCTTTTTTTTTCCCGTAAACCATGCTTGGGCTTAAATTCTTGTTTTTTAGATGTACTGAAAACACTTCACAGGTTTTACTTGTGCTAAGACCTAATATTTAAATGCTGATGGTTTTGCTGAAACACAGAACAATTAATGAAAGCAGATTTTAGTATGTCCTATAGGTAACTATTTTACTTGTTTACAACATGACTCGTGGTGTATGGTAATTGGCTACTTTGTCTTGTGTATTTTGTTTTACTATTAATATTTGCGGACAAATTATTGATTCTTGTTCTCACAGGCAGTTGAACTACAAAACAGGTTATCTGAAGAATCCAAGAAAGCTGATAAATTAGATTATGAATGCAAACGACTGAAAGAAAAAGTAGACAGCCTCCAAAAAGAAAAAGATGTAAGTGCCAAGGTGTTATTTTTTTGGTAGTAGCGATAGCAACTTTATGTCCTTTATAACACAGAGATATGGTAATTATAGTTAGCCTTTTACAGCAAACTTTTTAAATTAGGAAGTCTTTTTTCACTTAAAATTTTCTAATGTTTGTGTACAAGATCCTTTTTAAAACTAAGAACTGTACAGCATGGAATAAAGTGACTGTACAAAAACATATGCAATCCATTTTTAAGAGGAAAAGTCTTCATATTTGGGATCTGAACTTGTTCTTGACTGTTTACCATTAGAAGGCTAAGGGTAATTGTAATGTATTCTGAAAAACTATTTAAAGTAGGGTTTCTGCAGTATCATCCTAGAACTGAACTCCCGTTGCCTTTTTCTAAAGCATTCTTTGAGGTACCGTCAGCATGTTTCTCTTTGTGGAATCATGACTACTGCAGCAAGAGGCTTAAGAGTCCTCTAGAGGGACATGTCCTTTGTGGCGATCTTGCCTTTTATCACAGCTCCTTGTTGATCTATCTTGTACTGCCAACATGGAACTCACAGGATGGATACCCATCTATTCCCTTCCTCTCTGTCATTCACTGCTAGTGATTCTGCAATTAATTGCTCTGTCCTCTCTTGCCAAGACTTCTCTTGCACACTATTGTTTCTCACCAGTGTATTTCAGCTTGTGTCTTACGAATGTATACCCAGGTGCTTCAGACTACCGCAAACCAAGACCAGCACTTTGAGTTAGCAATTTCTTCGGCTTGTTTTAAGTGTAAGTCCATCTGTCTATCAGTCAGAATCTCTGCAGGCTTTTCCCTCCATAGTCATATTTCCTGTCCAATTCTTTCTAAAATTTCCAGCCCCTGCACTTGAATGACATTTGAACTAAAAGTTTTCAGTTATTTTCCGTTCATAGGTCTTTGATTTCCATATTTTATTAAATTTTCAAACTATTGTGAACACTTGTCCTTGATATCACTTCCATCTACCTTTCAGTTCAAATTGGAATGCCCACAGTAACTATATTCGTACTGTGCTTCGCCTTTTCTGCTCTTTATTTAGAGTTTGTTTTTCCAGTTTTATTATGTTTGACAGTAGTAAGGTTGTGTCTGTGGCTTCCCATTGCTTGGTGGACCATTTCATCTTGCACAAAGGTTCTGAATTGGAGGCCGTTGACATACAGTTTTCTGTTTTACACCCTGGCAAACAGCATTTTTTTTGGATGGATGTTGGTTTTCCATACGCTATTTTGACTGGATATGCATCTGTGAGAAGTAGATTACAGCTGAAGTCTCTCAACATTTGAATTAGTGATTCACTACCTGTGTTACCTACTTTTTCTGTACCCTGTTGTCACATAACAGTGTCAGTAATGTTGCTTACCACAGGTCACAAGCTACATAGTGGTATCATGTCAGTTATATTTTGGAAATAGTTACTGAAATTGACATTGTCCTTGTCTCTCTGTTCTGGCAAAGTGTGGTAGCGTGATTGATCTCTTCAGGTATGTAGCTTGGAATTTTACCTCTGTGGTGTGTTGTATAATAAGTACTAAGATAATTTTATAAGTTGACTTTGTCTGCAGTGTACAAGTGAAGCCCTAGAGCTTTTTATATTCATTAAAATATTCTGGCATTTGATTAATGAACTTGGTGTTTTCTGACTGATGGTAGCAGACTGCAGGATACCTGCTTTCAGCAGCTGAGTTTGAGCAGTCCTCTGTGGGGCTCTTCCTCTGTAGTATTTATGGTAAAACCAGTTTTTTACCTGTTGGTTTTGTGAAATGACTTTCAGTGCTAACAGAATGTACACTTTATTCAGATTGTTTTGACGGTTGCACCAGAGTTCACCTTGCAGAATTCAGAAATACAGGAGAAGCCTCTGTCACACTTCACCAAAACGTTCTTTGCCAAAGTGATTCCAGATCTTGAATCTATTTGTACTGATATATCAAATATATCTGAATCAAACTGTTAATAGGTTGAAATGCAAGGAGCTGTCAGCCAACACAACTCCGTACCTACACAGAACTGAGGTCTGTCCTGGACCTTTTAATAATACTTAACATGTCTGTTTTTGGAGCAAACTACAACTTGGATCCTTACGTAGTTGCCATTTTCTCCTTTCATTTTTGAATCTTGGCAACCTTCTGGACAAAAACTTGATGCTACCTCTAGATTCTTGGGTTTTTTTCCCAAAAGGGTATTTGTGCCAAATTGGGAGAGTATTTGCCTGATGCTACTGAGGACCCTATCTGTCTAGATCCCAAGGTGGTCCAGTCCGGTTCTTCAGTTGTCTTTGGACTGAGCCTCAAGCAACAAGTTTTCTTCTATAGCTAAAATGCTGGTGAATGGCAAGGCCAGTTGACAAACAGGAGGAAGGGGATATGGAAATGCTGCTTGCACTTTTACTGTTGAAAGACAAACAAAATGAAGTTAATGCAGTTTGTTTATGTTGACTGTGTACTTACCTACTTTTTATTTCGCTCCTGGCTAAGCCTTGGTTTCTTGGTGAGGGAAAAGTCTATGGTCTCTTAATTCACTTCCATTTCCCTTGGAATCAGCCCCAATGAGGGGAAGAGGAGGATGGCTGAGTGGCCCGAGTGGATGCTATTTACTACCTGGTACCAGAAATTTGCGTCACTAATATCCTGATTCTGTAAGCTTATACCCTGATATTTTAACCCCCATAAATGTAATACAGAGTAGCAACCCTTTTCAAAAAAATACTGGTCATGTGGAATATATAACATTTATGTTTATTCTGAAATAGACTGAGATTCTTTAATTTTAAAATCATCTCTAGAGTTGCATTAACAACTTTTTAGAGTATTGAAGGCTGTGCCTTTTGGCGACTTGAGTACATTTAAAGATGGATTTGTAGTGCCAAGACTGATATTCATTTTCTTTCCAATTATTCAGAGATTAAGAACAGAAAGGGATTCTTTGAAAGAAACTATTGAAGAGCTTAGATGTGTACAAGCTCAGGAGGGTCAACTCACCACTACAGGTAAAGGACAAATAAAGAGACTAAATGTGTCTTTTCTAAAGTTTACATGACTTCTCTGGAGACTACTGAATGCAGTTTTGTTTAGCACAGAATAAAAAAAAGCTCCTCTAAGAGCAGCAGTGAAAAGCTGTTTCAGCTATTCATAACTTTATAAGCATTTGAGAACTTAAAAAGTTACTTCAGTCAATCAGAAATTTTAGTCTTCTCCCCAGTGTGATATTTTAAAATATATTTCTGATTTCTGTGCAGTTAAATAATTTTCTTTAGAGAGATACTAAGTTTTCTTATATGTGCATGATGTTTCATGTGTTGCAGTTTGTTTCTATGTGTAATGCTGCACAGCTTTGTAGTTCTTAGTGAGCAAAAAATACACCAGAAAATTACTTCATCAGGATGAAGACAGAAATAATGATTATTCTCCAAATGAAATTGTGCTTGTCTGTGTCTCTTGCTGTAGCCTGACTTGGTGTCATTTTTCATTGTCTAGTATTATTCTAAAACTGAAAACTTCTAGAACAGTGTTTACTTCTGGTCTTTTAAAGAAAGTTACTGGTCTGCTTGCTAAATTTTTTGCTTTTTCTGACCCAGGATTGATGCCTCTGGGAAGACAAGAGACTTCAGACAGTTTAGCAGCAGAAATTGTTACTCCTGAAATAAAGTAAGCTAATGTGTGCTTTGTTTCACTAACCTTTGTAATGTACCCATATGTGATATAGTTTAGTTTTCAGTGTTGGAAAGTTTCTACAGCTAATGTTTTTCTCTCCTCTTGGATTTCTGCATAACAGGAGCTGTTATGCTTGAGACAAAATTCAATTCAACTCTCTTGAGTTTGTATTGATCTCCAGTAAAAAAAAGGGAAAATGAAAAAACCCCTTAGCCTCACATTGTGTCTCCTCTTTTCCTGCAGAGGGTTCATGTAACTGCAGCTTTATATGTGCATTAACAGACAAAAATTTTTGTAACAAGAATGTGTTGTTGTACAAGGAAAAAATTACTAAAATTGTAAAACGAAGAGTGGATTATAAATTCCATTTTGTGTCATGGCAAATGTTTACAGACTATTAAAAGGAAGAACAGCAATGGCAGAGCTTAAAATCATTATATCTTAAGATGTTGTAGGCTGTGTTTAGCCTTGCCAGTATGCTAAAAGTTTGTAAGAAAGTTGCATCTCAGAAATCTGTTAGCTCTTCAGGAAATCATTTCTTTTATCTCTACCAATATTGATACAATGTTTTAACACTTGGAAAGCTCAATTTGGGGTCAAAACATACTGTTCAGTAGTAAAATAATATCCTTCTAAAAAAGGTAGTAATAGAAAAGATTTGGTTTTCTTCCAGCTGTGCTGCTGCATCTTACTACAAGAGCAATTCTTTTTAGTTTTGTTCAGAAACAACTAAAGAGAAGAATAACGTTTTGAAGCAATGTTAGGGAGTTACTGCATAAACCTTTCATGTGATTGCCTGAGAGAGGACAGGACCCTAAATGCCATAAATACCCAAGCATAGCCTGTGGTTTCACTGACTCTGCATCTGTGCCTCCTGCAGATGAATTTTGGATTTTATGCAAGCATTCATCCATGCAGACTGTTTGCAGCTGCTAAACTTGGCCTCCATGTCTACTTGATAGACATGTACAGTAGCAGCTGTCAGTCTGGAACTTCCTGATGCGGACCTCTGGGCTTCTGCTGATGAAAGAGGAAGATTACACAAGGCAGCCCACCCATAGGAGTAGCTACTACTACTCTCTTGTTTGCTCCATGGTGACAGAGCATGGGTCTGTGCTCAAGCACCTTTCCCCATCTCATAGAAAAGACCTGCAGACCAAATGGGAGAGTTTTGTGAGGCAGATTCTGTCTGTGACTTGTCAGTTGCACCTCAGAAAATCAACAAATTAAGTGACACAAGGAGTTAGCGGGGCTCATTGAAAGAGCTTTAACTAGGTTTGAAGGGGGAAAGGAATAAAACCAGGCTCACTAGAGAAAAACCTGGGGACAATATGCCAATATTTGAAGGATGGTGCGCTAGCAAGGTCCTTCAGTCTGCTCTACAATGAGCACATTTGAAATGTCCCTGTAGTAACACACACAGTACCTTAGCCATCTCAGTGGAGGTAGGGGATGGAGATGCACACAGCAGCAAAGACATAAAAGTTGTTGATGCGTTAGAAACCATGGAAGCCTGAGAACAGTCACATAGGAATTAGGGCTTCTCCCCAAAATAAGGTGCTGGGATCAACATCCCAACTTGAAGCACATCTGCACCAATGCATGCAGCATGGGCAACAAACAGGAGGAGTTGGAAGCCATTGTACAGCTGGAAAACTATGATATAGTTGCCATAATGTAAACATGGTGTAATGACTCACACAACTGGAATGCTGCAATGAATGGCTATAAACTCTTCAGAACTTCAGGAACTCTTAAAGGTGCAGGAGCAGGCCATCCCAATGTGCTGAAAGATGAGCTGGTGGGGGGGAAGATTGGCCTGGCTGAACAGAGAGCTTTGGCTGGCACTAAGGGTAAAAAAGAGAGTTTATGACTTTTGAAAGAAGGATCAGGCAACTATGGGGGACTACAAAGATGTCATGAGATTATGCAGGGAAAAAATTAGAAGGGCCAGAGCCCAACTAGAACTTAATTTGGGTGTTGCAGTAAAAGACAGTAACAAATATTTCTATAAATACATTAACAACAAAATCCTTTATTGGATGCAGGAGGGGGGGAAACTTAGTGGCAAAGATGAAGAAAAGGCTGAGGTATTTAATGCCTTATTTGCCTCAACCTTTAATAATAAGATCAGCTGTTCTCCAAGTACCCAGCCCCCTGGGCTGAAAGACAGGGACAGGGTGTAGAATGAAGCCCCCATAACACAAGCGTAAATGGTTAGTGACCTACTACACCACTTAGACACACACAAGTGTATGGGGCCGGATGGAATCCACCCAAGGATACTGAAGCAGCTGGTGGAAGTCTCACCAAGCCACGTTCCATCATTTACCAGCAGTCCTGGCTAACCGGGGAGGTCCTAGATGACTGGAGCTTAGCAATTATGATGCCCATCTACAAGAAGGGCGAGAAGGAGGATCCAGGGAACTACAGCCCTGTCAGCCTGACCTTGGTGCTGGGGAAGGTTATGGAGCAGATCATCTTGAGTGCTATCACATGGCACATACAGGACAACAAGGCAATCAGGCCCAGTCAACATGGGTTCATGAAACACAGGTCTTGCTTGACTAACCTGATCTCCTTCTATGACAAGGTGACTCATTTAGTGGATGAAGGAAAGGCTGTGGATGTTGTTTACCTGGACTTTAGTAAAGCCTTTGATGCTGTTTACCATAGCATTCTCCTGGAAAAACTGTCTGCTCATGGCTTGGAGAGGCGTACTCTTCTCTGGGTAAAAAAACTGGCTGGATGGCCAGGCAAGAGTTGTGGTGAATGAAATCAAGTTGGCAGTCGGTCACAAGTGGTGTTCCCCAGGGCTCACAACTGGGACCAGTTCTGTTTAATATCTGTATCAATGATCTGGACAAGGGGATCGAGTGCACCCTCAGTATGCTTGCAGACAGCACCAAGTTGGGCAGGAAAGTTGATCTGCTTGAGGGTAGGAAGGCTCTACAGAGGGACCTGGACAGGCTGGGTCAATGGGCCAAGGCCAACTGTATGAGGTTCAACAATGCCAGATGCCAGATCCTGCACCTGAGTCACAACCAGCCCCTGCAACAGTACAGGCTTGGGGAAGAGTGGCTGGAAAGCTGCCTTGTGGAAAAGGACCTGGGGGTGTTGGTCGACAGCCGGCTGAATATGATCCAGCAGTGTGCCCAGGTGGCCAAGAAGGCCAACAGCATCCTGGCTTGTATCAGAAATAGTGTGGCCAGCAGGACTAGGGAAGATGTTGTCCCCCTGTACTCGGCAGTGGTGAGGCCGCACCTTGAGTCCTGTGTTCAGTTTTGTGCCCCTCACTACAAGAAGGACATTGAGGTGCTGGAGCGTGTCCAGAGAAGGGCAACGAAGCTGGTGAAGGGTCTAGAGCACAAGTCTTATGAGGAGCAGCTGAGGGAAGTGGGGTTGTTAGTCTGAAGAGAAGGAGGCTGAGGGGAGACCTTCTTGCTCTCTGCCTCAAAGGGGGTTGTAGCCAGCTGGGTGTTGGTCTCTTCTCCCAAGTAACAAGTGATAGGGCAAGAGGAAATGGCCTCACATTGCACCAGGGGAGGTTTAGATTGGATTTTAGGAAAAATTTCTTCACCAAAAGAGTTATCAAGCATTGGAACAGGCTGGCCAGGGGAGTGGGTGAGT